AATTTTTAGGAGGAATGTCCCTAAAGACCACATAACTGGGAGTACATACAATTAAAATCAGATGCATCAGGAGAAATAGATGTACAATAAAGGAAAAGTTATATAACTAACTCAAACCTGCCCAAGAACTAAGCCTCTGAGGAACCGGTTCCTCCTTCTCTTCAACCCCCCAAAATTAGTCTGAGCTTTTATATTCTTTCAGGAGGTGCTTCGCACAGTCGGAGTGTATTTCCAATCTGTAGTAACCCTTTGCTTTTCCCTTTGATTTTGAATAGTCTCCTTGCTACTTTGCCTTAAATTTTGACTCTTTAAAAAAAGATGCCAAGAATCTGGAAACACCTGGTCCAGACACTGACCACTAACCAGTAACAGCCTGGATTATAAAGGAGAGTGTGTAGACACATTCTGAGAAATATGTTGAGGAATTTGTGGCCATCTTTGGTTCACTGCATCTCCTAAATTTTTACAGAAAAAATTAAGCTAAGCAGGTCACTTGTCCGAAAGGGTCCAGAATATATCCAAGTGACAAAAGGATCATACTGAGCTGCAGATATCTGAGAGTCAACAAATGCATAAGTGTTTACCGAACTCCCACTGTAGGCCTAAAAGTAGACCCTCCAAGAAAAGAATTCATCTGTTTTCAATTCTCTCCCCCAGGCTTTCATCAAGGGAAGATGGACTCTTAGCACAAGACTAGAGATGTATCAGCACTACACCCAGACAGTACTACATCCATGTTAGCGTCCAGAGGAAGCCACACAAACCAGTCAGACACCAATCTCAGTTAGATGTGGATGGTTTATTGAACGCAACGCCCCAAGGCTGACCATGGTCAGGGACGCAGTGGACTCGGGAGCCAAAACTGTGACACTGCATATTTTTTAGAGTTAGCTTATAAAGGCAGAAACCGAAATTAGCTTGCAGTGGCGGAAGGTGGGAGGCAGTGGAACGAGATAGCCACTTTTGTTAACTAGACAGGGCAGTTCTGGCTGACCCTTAATTTTATTGGTCTATAGTCAGGGCCAGCTGCATTTACAGTTGGAGAATTTCTAGGAGTAGCAAGACCACAGAGTTCCTGAATATGCAGCTGGCCCTGACTATAGACCAATAAAATTAAGGGTCAGCCAGAACTGCCCTCTATCAGCTTGGTCACATACCCAGCATGGCACAGAAATATTTTATGGCTGGGGGTCATCACCACATGACAGATTGTATCAAGGGGTCAGTGCATTAGGAAGGTCGAGAACCGCTTTTCTAAGCAATGCCCTCAGAGGAAGCATCTTTTAAGTTCTTTACAAAAATTCATTTTCAACTAAATGTTCTCTATATGAGTCAATTCACTAACCAATTGAAGGGGTAAAATAATAACATGTTTCTTTTCATTTATTTATTTGGTCTGTTTGAGACAGGGTCTCTCTATTATGTAGCTCTTGCTGTCCTGGAACCTATGTAGACCGGGCTGGCTCAGGCTCACAGAGATGTACCTGTCTCTCCCTTCTGAGGGCTGGAATTAGAGGCATGCACCGCTATGCCCCACCCGAAGGCATTTTTCTTGATTTTTAAAAATTTGTTTGCGAAAGTTGAGAGTGGGGACACAGGCCTGTTATGTCAGCCCTTGGGAAGCCGAGGTAGGAGAACTGCAGAGGTTAAGGTGAGACTGGATTAAATAGGTAGACCCTGTCTCAGTTCCCCTCCAAACATGCCTGTATATCCACACACCATCAGCACTTGCACCATCACCAATCTGGCCTCTGTAGCTCTTCTAAAAAGGCACCTCGGGATGTAAAAGTAACTTTTACTCTTCTGGTTTAATTGTTATCTTGGAGGCTTACTGCCTTCGTCTGCTAACCTAGGCCTGGTCCTGGAAGCTTCTAGCCTCAATATAATCTAATCTAGGCCTAGAATGTTTTCAGCCTCTGAGTCTTACTGTTGAAAAAGCTCACACTTTCTAGTTCTTTATGAACTCTGGCTGCTGGTTCAACTCAGCTGTTCTGGCTGAAACTCCTCTCCAAGGTGACTAATTCAATCTGGCTTCTCTCTTGGCCTCTGACTGAATTGCTCTGCCTGGCCTCAAACTAACTCTAGCAATCTGTTCTAATCTTCTGGCTCCTTCTCATTTTCTGGCTCGTTCTATCTTTACCTGTGTCTGTAAAACTCTCCTGGTAAAACTGCCTTTGAACCATGAACTGAACTACCACAAACTCAGCTCTACTGCACTGCCTCTCAACTCACTCTCAAACGAATTGCCTGAGTAGACTGACTAGCACTCAAGAGATCTGCATGCCTCAGTCTCCTCAGTTCTTGGATTAAAGGCCTGTACCACCACGCCTGGACCTAAACTTTTCTTTACCTGAAACTTGCTCTATACCGAACTAGCCTTGAACTCAGAAGATCTGCTTGCCTCTGTCTGCTGGAATTAAAGGTGTGTCTGTATTCCAACCAGATCACCACAGACCTAAAAGATGTGGTATGATGTGATCTCTTGGATGTGATCTCTTGCCAGAGCAGCCATGTTCTAAATTAAAATTTCTTTATACCAGGAAAGCCAGGGAATAAAACAAACACAGAATCTGAAAGAAGTAGCCTTCACAGAGGGCAAAGGGAGGCCCGATGGTGACAGCTATGCAGCGAGACAGAAGTGACATCCAAGCTCAAAGTGGGCAGGCTGAGGGCCCTGGGGTACAGATCTCCAAAATGCAAATGAGGGTTTCAGGGCAAGAAGGAAATGGGCGGAGAGTGTGATAAAAGCTTAATACTGCGTTTATTTAAACAGTGCAATGAAAGCAATCAGCAACAGTGGGAGGAAACAAAAGTACAAGAAAATCTAAATCACTGAGTAGACTGATCAGTTTCTCCACACGAAAACAACAAGCAAAGCAAAGGTCAAGAACAGCAACAACAAAACCAGCACTCAGGAACCTAACGAGAAAAACATTCTTCAGGGAAATTAGAAGCCACCTCCCTAGGAAGGGCAGGTGACTCTCTTGCTGTTGGAGAGCAGCCTTAGGGTGCTGTGACGGTGTCCGTAATGCGTGTTCAGGTATGAAAGAACTTAGTGCCTCAGGGGCTGAAAGTGCCCAAAGCTTGTGGTCTCATTTGGGAGCTGCCTCCACTGCAGAAAGATGCCTGATGATTGCTTCTTCTGCCTGGTCCTGCTTCTTTCCCTCCTATGTTATCACTGCCCTGTGAAACCTGCTTCCTGGTCTGTGTTACAGTCTGCCTCTGGCAGCACCTGCCTCTTGTGCTTGGGTTTTGAAGGGAGTTCCTCAACATAGGCATAGAATGGCATTTTGGAGCTAGACCACTGTGCCACCTGGACACTATCTGAACTGTCCCTCGTACACGGTAGTGGAGCAATATAAAATGCTTTCACAGTGGTAGCTTAAGTGGTACTTCAGGAAGGAAATGCCTTAGCTGGGATGTATCAGGTGTTAGAGGTGTAAAAAAAAAAAAAAAAATGGTGACCACAAAAAGCTGTTGCCAAGCTTGATTAACATTTTGGAAAAAAAGATAATAAAATCTGAGTGATTCATCAGCGAGTGCTGATAAGTATGCAAGGGTAAGAGCCCTGCACAGCAGAGATTGCAGCAAGCTGGAGGGCTAGGTAAACAAGGAACTACAGTGATGATAATAGAAACCAGACTTCTCACCGCTGAGAAGGAATTTATAAATGTAAAATGAGAATGTATCGTCGGGGCTCTCTAGAGACACAAAACCAAGACCATTTACATAGATCCGAGTGAGGAGATTTATTATATGCCTTGCCTCATGCAGTCAGGGAAGCCTGGAAACCCTCAACCAATAAACAAAGAAGAATGAACTAGGTCTTTATCTGAAAGCTGATGATCAGGTATGCTGCTGGTGTATGTCCTAGTTCAAGGAGGGCATGAGAAATGGGCAATAAGGAGGACAGAGCAGAACTGCTCTACAGTCTAGAACCAGGAGTCCAAGGTCTGAGGGCAGAAATATTCTTGCTCGTGGAAGAGGATAGGAAATTCTCTGTCTCTTCCTTTTGCTCCATTTGGCCAGGACCCCATGAATTGGATGGTACCCACTCACATTTCTGAGGGCAGATCTGCTTTACTAATCTGAAAACTACCCCAGACTTCCCTACAAATAATGTTTCTGCCCGCATTCCGGGCAGCCCTTATCCAAGTTACCATGTAAACAAATGGCCTAAAATTCATCATCATAGAGTGGAGAAAAGCCCCCTGGTGTGCTGGATTGGAACCAGAGACATTGCTATAAGTTCGCATTTTATTTCTTTTAAAAAGTTTTGCTACGTGTATGCATGTGTGTTTGGTGATCTTTTATATGCGTCTGATACGTGCAGGAATTCAGAGAGGGTGTTGGGTCTTCTAGGATTGGATTTCTAGATGGCTGTGAGTCCCTCTGTGAATGTTGAGAACTGAAGCCAGGTCCTCTGTGAGAGCAGTAGGCGCTCTTGACTGCTGAGCCATCGCTTCAGCCCCAAGTTTTATTTCTTCTTAGTGGTCTATATTAATATACAGAACAATGGATTTCATCAATAACATTCACCCCCTTCTTTTCCCAGCCCTCTTCTGTGATTTCAATGCAAATTTGTGTTTTAAATTAACCCAGCAATATAAAACAGATGCATTTAGAGATGTGTAAGGGTGTTTATGAGTAACTTCCTAGCTCTTTTTCTTTGGGGGCTCTAGAAGCAATGGTATCTCAGTAGCAATGATCCCCCAATCCTCTCTCTCTCATACACTCAGCCCTTGGGAGGTAGATTCAGGAGGATCTGGTTTCCAGTCAAGGAACTGTTTTGTTTGTTGTGTGCTCCTCAAGGGCAGAGGAGCCAGAGAGTCGGGGAAGATTCATGGTTAAATGGGACGGGCACTAGGATCAGGGAGCCAGGGTCTGAAGCCTCTCGCTGGCAGTGTGGCCCATCCAGGAGAGCCAGGTACGTCCAGAGCCAGCCCCACCGCGGACCTCCCACCACAGGCGTCGCTGTCCGCTCGCGCGCAAGCCGGGGAGCTGCGTCGAGCCGGGAGCCCGCGCTCGAGCCCAGCGGGGGGGTTTCAGTTTCTGGCGCGAACTTCCGCCGCTCCGAAGTTGCAAGGCGAACTGGCGCGATGTCTGGGGACAGCAGCGGCCGCCGGCCCGAGGGCCGGGGTCGGGGTCGCGACCCTCACCGGGATCGCACCCGCTCCCGCTCCCGCTCGCGGTCCCCGCTGGCCCGCCGCGGCGCCGCGCCGGAGCGCAGGGAGGCAGCGGAGCACCCGAGCTTGGAGGACACCGAGCCGTCCGATTCCGGGGACGAGCTGATCGACCCGGCCTGCTTGGAGGCGGAGTACGACCAGGGCCTGTGCCGCCAGATCCGCCATCAGTACCGCGCTCTCATCAACTCCGTCCAACGTAAGGTGGCGCTTTGGGGCTGCGCGGGCCGGCGGCGTTCCGTGACCCGGCAGGGCGGCTGGGGGCGCGGGCGCGGGCCGGTCGGCGGCGGCTCGCGGCAGCGCGCCTCCGTCTGTTTACTAAGTGCACCCTTGGCGACCTTGGCGACGGGCGCGCAGGAGCCCCGTTGCCAACTGGAAAAGCGGGAGGCCGGACCTGGTGGTGACTTGCTTGAGCTCAGGCCAGCCCGTAGGGAAGACAAGCGAGTAACGTCAGGTGCTTTTTGTTCGGTCCAGCGTGCTCCGCGCGGGCTCCTGACCTGCGGGGTCCCTCGGGATTGCTGAAATGCACATGTCCCTCCCCTGCCCCGATCCACTGGATCAGAAATGCTGGCTAGGCCCATGCGTTTGTCGCGTTTCTCTCCGGGCGACCTCGCTGCTTGAGAAGTTTGACAACCGCTTTTAATTAAGGCCCTGCTTTGGGGAGCAGGAGAGGCGGCCCTTTGTAGTAAGATGACAGGCAGTCAGTGTTTCCTGTTAAAAGTTCAAGTTTCGGGTTCTGGGGAGATGGCTGAGTCGGCAAGTGCTTCTCTTGCTCAGAACCTCCCTAAAAATGCGGAGCTAGTGGTGCAGACTTGTATCCTCAGCTCTGGGGAAGCAAAGTCCCTGGGTCCCGCTGGCCAGCCCACCTAGCCTACTTGGCTAGTTCCAGGTTAGTGAGACCCTGTCAGAAAAGGCAAAGGGGATGGCGAGCTGAGGGAAGGGCACCTAAGGTTGCCCCCAGACCTTGTGCACACACAGAAGTTCAAGTTGCTTGAAGCAGTAGTACTGCCTATTTCTGTACAATTTGGTAAAAAGGTAAAGACATTTTTAATCATCACCCAGGAAGTAGGAGTGGGACTTAGCTTCACTACTGTGACAACTGTCAGCTACTCAGTAATGATGAGCACATTTCCCTAAGTTTGTATTCTTTTAAATAGAAAACCGGGAGGACATACTGAATGCTGGTGACAAGTTAACAGAGGTCCTTGAAGAGGCAAACACTCTGTTCAATGAAGGTAATTTGTGCTTTTAATATGTTGTCATAGCTCATACTCATCGAATTACTTTTACAGAAGCAAAATTAATGTCGTTACATAATTCCGTTGACTAGTACACCTAACAGGTCCAGAGCCCTTTGCATTTCCGCAACAGTACTGCTTTCGCCATGTACTTACCATTTGGCTCAGCCTATTATTATAGGGTTCTTCACGAAATTCTGGGAGGAGTCGTTCTAAGAAGCCTCTTCCATGAGCTGGGCAGGGGTGGTGCACACCTTTAATCCCAGCATTGGGGAGGCAGGTGGATCTCTGATTTAGAGGACAGGCTGGGTGGGCTACGTCCCAGGACAGCTGTGGCTACATAGAGAAGCTCTGTCTGGAGACAAGAACAAAAAGCCTCTTGCCGTGATTCTTTTGCCGGCCCGAATTTGAGAGCTCTGGTTGTGTGTTCCATTTACCAAACAGAGGAGTTAGAGAAGAATGCGGCTAGCCTCAGACATCGGTTTTCCTGAGCCTCTGGTCTCCCCTCCTTTAGCTGTAACCTATCACCTAGTGGAGGTGGCCTTATCTACCAGCGCACCTTGTGGTGGGGCAGCGTGGGAGAACCATGCACTTGTGTGGAGGTCTGGCTCTTGGGCGTTTTCTCTTTGCTTTAAATTATGTGTATATGTGGGTTTGTGCAGGATCTGTGGTGCCAGAAGAGGGTATCAGGTGTGTGTGTGTTTGTGTGCATGTCTGTGTGGTCCTTCCCCCAACCCCCGCCCCAGCTGGAGTTACAAGGAGGTTGTAAGTTGTCTGACAAGGATATGAGGAACTAAACCCAGGGCCTTTGGAGGAGCAGTACTCTGTGTTAACTGCTGAACTTCCTTTCGAGACCCACGGTCGTGGGAGTTTTACGCCGCAGTCTTAGTTTGCATTAAAAGCAGCAGCAGTGTCGTGCGGTAACCACTCGGCCCGTGTCTGAAGGAGGAGGTCGGGGGACTCCCTAGTGTCCCCCAACAGAACCATGTCCTGTTCAGGCCTCTCTCACCACTTTGGGAGCAGAAAGGGACAATTGCAGTGGTAAAACAGGATCATAGCGTGGGGGTCGGGCGCTGACAACACACCTGTAATGCCAGCACTCTGGGAGGCAAGAGACAGGCGGATCTCTGTGAGTTCAAGGCCAGCCTGGTCTACAAAGCAAGTCCAGAACAGCCAAGGCTATACGGAGAAACCCTAAAGAAAAAGAAAAGAAAAGAAAGAGAGAAAGCAGGATTGGCTTGTTCCCTGTTAACCACAATTGATGTTCTTGAGGACCGTTTACTTCATCTCGTATGCCTGCTTGTTTCAGTGCTGGCATAGCATTTGGTGCCCTCTATCTTTCATGCTCTGGCCGTGGCCTCCTATGGTTCCCCTGCTTGGTCTGGAACGTACACTAAATCACCTGTAGAACTTGAAGGACTGGGGTTCCTCTTTTACCTGGAACATGTCCCTTCTGCCCTGGCAAGGTTTTTCTTCCATCCTACTTGGGCTCACAGTCTCCTCACTGTGAGTCTCCCTACTATCTACTGTACATCTAACCCACATGCCACCTCCCTCAGCTACTGCCTGTGTTAATCAGAAGACAGAATTACTCTAGTAGGCCCTCAAGAGCGCCCCAGCTTGCCATCTATGGGTGTTATGCCTCTATTTCAATTCTTTAGAGAACTTGCTCTCATCCAGACAGGATATTTGTACTTTCCTTGCAGTGGTTTATGGCTCATGAGGCTGTTGGCCTAGGAGAGTATAGATGAAAGCCCAGGATCTGCTTCCCCCGTTGCCATCACTTCTGCAGTGACTTTTTTCTTTCAATTTTTATTTCATGTGCATTGGTGTTCTGCCTCCATGTGTGTCAGTGTGAGGGTGTCAAGAGCCTCTGGAACTGTTGTTACAGACAGTTGTGAACTGCCGTGTGGGTGCTGGGAATTGAACCGAGTCCTCCGGAGAAACAGCCAGTGCTCTTAACCACTGGTCCATCCCTCCAGCCTCTGCAGTGACTCTTGAAATGATTAAAATCTTCTGTAAAGAGAAATGATTGATAAGAACAGAAGGGTCAACAAGTTCAACAATGACTAGCTGTGCTTTTCTTTTCCTATTTGTGTGAGGATTATTCAGGAAATCAGTGCCTCAAATGCAAATAGTCTTGAGGGCCATGCTGGGCACAGACAGGTATTTCTGTTTGAGTTCGTCAGGGTTTGTTGGCCTTGACTTACATTAGAGTCTTCTCAGACTACTATTTTTGATTCTCTGTGACCCATAGAACAGCCCCCTTAGCTCTGCTATGCTCTTCAGTTGACCCCCTTTTTCCTTTACAGATGTTATCATCTCTCCCTATCTGTAATGGCCTTTCCATTTGAGTTGCATCAGCTCAGGTGAGGGTGGCGACGAATGTGCCAGTCAAAGAGACAGGTGTTTACACATGACACAGGTTTTGGTTATAATGGGGTTAGTAAGAGACTGTGGCTCAGTGGAGGCTGAAGAGACAGCTAGGCAGTTAAAAGCTCTAGCTGTGGTTGCAGAAGACCCAGGTGTGATTCCCAGCACTCACATGTTGGCTCATAACCATCTGTAACTCCAGTTCCGGGGGATTATGTCAACTTCTTCTGATCTCCATGGCATGAGGTTCACACATGTGCGTACATACGTGCAGTTAAACACTCACACTCATAAACTAAAAACTAAAAGGAAACAAAAGTAAAAGATTCTGGTTCAGAGGCCAGGAATATGAAAACTACAGAGTAATCTTTCAGGAAGCCTGGTCAGCTGTGGTTGAGATTTTGGTGACATGGGGAGGGAACCAGTTTTAAAATTCAGTGAGTCCATTTCCGGCCTGTTGAGGTTTATGTTGGCCTAGTGGAAAGATTCTAATAAGTGCTTGGAAATTTGGGGAAATGCCTATGATTGTATGTTTCTTAATGTGTGTTTCTTGCTCTACAGTGTCACGAGCAAGAGAGGCAGTTCTAGATGCCCAGTTTCTTGTTCTGGCTTCAGACTTGGGCAAAGAGAAAGCCAAACAGCTGCGCTCTGACCTAAACTCATTTGATATGTTAAGATATGTTGAAACTCTGGTAAGTTCAGAGCTGTAGTATTTTAATTGAATGCTTCTTTAAAATGTGTTATATAATTCTCTATTTGCTTATATCAGTATGAAAATGATTTTTCACTTTGTTTTCTTGTATTCCTTTTTTGGTCTTAGGGTGCTCCAAGGAGCTCTTAGGAAATTAACAGATAAAGTTGAGGTGTGTGGTGGAATTTGGGGTTGGAGCTCTGAGCAGTTTGAAACTCTGAGCTTTCTCTTCTAAGACTCTGGATGTCCTGGTTGGTTACTAATGGCCATTTCTTTGTTTACTTCAGAAGTGTTCTAGGTCATTCTGGTAAGTCTGTTCTGGGCTGGACCAGAGCTCACGCTGTAGAGGTGGAGGTCAGGGGCAGCTCAGGGTAGAGGTAGGCTGGAAATGAGTTGAACCTTGTTGTATAGGCATATTCTGTCTTGGAAAACTTTTAGAACTATGCAAGTATGATGGTGGTTTTATATTTAATTTAGTTTTTAATTCACCCACCTTTGCTTCTTAACAAGTTTGAAGAGTTAGTACCTGAAATTTTAAAACTTAAAAAATAATAATTTATTTACTCTTATAAATGGTGTTTTGCCTGAATGTATGTCTGTGTGAGGGTGTCAGATCCTCTAGAGCTGGAGTTACAGTTGTAAGCTGCCACGTAGGTGCTGGGAATTGAACCCTGGTCCCCAGATTTTAAAACTTCTTTTGATGTATGTGTCCAAAAGAAGAGTAGAAGCATGTGTTTTGTTTGTTTGAGACAGGGTCTTTATATAGTCCTGTCTGTCCTGGACCTCGGAGCTCTGCCTACATCTGCCTTCTGAGTGCTGAGATTAAAGGCATGTACTACCACAACCAGCTGAATTTGGAAATTTGACCATGCCTTCATGGTTAAAAGGTTATTAGAATTGTTTAAGCTGTATGCTAGGACACACCTGTAATCTCAGCTACTTGGGAACCTGAGGCAGGAGGATTGCAAGCCTGGGTTATATGAATAGGCCCTCTCTTAAAATAAAAATTGAAGAAAAGGGCTTGTGAAGGTGTGGTTCTATAGTAGAGCACTTGCCTAGCATAAATAAGGCCTTTGGTTTAATACCCAATACTGGAAAAAAGTCATTGTTGTGAGATCTGATGAGATAAAGTGACTACTTCATAAAATACTGAGGAAGAAAGTTATTTGCAACTTGTTGTTTTTAAAATCTTACTGTTTTCTTAGAATAAGTATTGTGAAGTTCAGTGTATTTTGGAAATGTTGACTGGTATATACACAGTGAGTATTTTTAAGATAAAAGTTAGTTATGCTTTAACCTTTAAATAACGCCACAATAAGTTAAAGCCTTAAAGCAGGAAGTAGTTTCCTGGATTGGCAACGCTTTGGTGTAGTGGTGCATGCCTTCAATCCCAGCACTCAGGTGGCAGAAGCAGGCGCACCTCTTGAGTTCCAGCCAGCCTCAAATCTAGTTCCAGGCCAGCCAGGGCTACATGGTGAGACCCTTTGAACTTGATAGCAAAAGAATGGAGGAGAACCAATTGCCCTGCCTGATCAGGCTCTAGCAGCATTTTTTTTTTTTTCTTTCTTTCTAAGTTTGGTTATTTTGAAGGCTTTCTAATTATACATACTATTACTTTAAGAACATTTAGACATATTACAGCCTGATATAAGAAACATGTTCTTTCCTAAGAAACAAATGTGACATAGTATTCACTACACCTGGCTATAACAGTACACTTGTGTAAAATGCAAGAGAATTGTTGGACTCACTGCCAAGTCTCCTGAGGAAGAGACACTGTCAGGAGTTTCTTGTGTGTTACTGTTCTCTGGATATACTGAGATCCCTTCTAGGAAGTTGGCCTGTCACTGGGATCTGAAAGCCAGCTAAACTTCCGGTTCTGTACTGGAGTGCTTGGCTTTGGGGTCTTCAGTTTCCCTGCTAGTCTATAGTTTTTACTCCTGATGGGTCTGCCTGTGCTCTAGTAGACCCGTATGCATGAGCTTAATGCCTGCCATTTTCAAGGTCCTTAGGCTGGAGTGGAAAGGAACAAGTTTCTCAGACTCAGCATGAGACACTTGAACTAGGTACCTCTCTATTTTGAATGCTTCTAGTGTACACCGTCGGACAGTCTCCCTGGCCTCTGCTCACTTGGTACCAGAAGCATGCCACTTGTTGACTGCCAAAATTTTTTTGCCACAAGATTCCTTAGGGGCAAAATTGCCCTAGTTGAGAACTGCTGAGCTAGAGCATCTCACTGTCTCACTGATAGTTCTAAGTGTGTTGAGGAATGTTTTCGCACAAGAGAAGGTATTTCTGAATAGGGGCTTATATTTAAAATTATCTTTGCAATAAGAAGTGGAGCTGGTATGAAAACAGGCTCTCCCTTTTTTCTGGTCTCTTTATTGAATTTGGTGAATGGTTGCCTGTGGTTTAACTTCTTTTTTTTTTTTTTTTCCTTTTTTTTTGTAGCTGACACATATGGGTGTAAATCCGCTAGAAGCTGAGGAAGTCATCCGTGATGAAGATAGAACTGATTTTGAATTAATTGTCTATGACTCCTGGAAAATATCAGGCAAAACAGCAGAAAACACCTTTAATAAAACCCATACATTCCACTTTCTGTAAGATTATTTTCAAAATCCAGCAGACCAGCCATAATAATAATTTGTAAACCTTAAGTTATTTTTATTGTAGGAACAAAGATTTTTTTTAAGTAGTGAGGAGGTCACAATCATGAAGCCATTGGTCAGAGAGACTCCCTAGACTTGGAACAGAAGTCCGTAAACATGACTGGAGTCAGTAGGTCTTTGTCCTCCCTTAGGAGAGGCTGTAGGGGCTTGTTTGCTTTCTAGGTCAGGAATTTGGGGTCTGTAACGTGTTTCTGTATGAAGGCACCTACTGAGAGTATCTTGAGATCAGGGCAGTTTATGTCAAGGGCCATTTATTATAGCATCGTTTTGTACGATTACTCACTGTATTTGAAGACTACTTAACCAGCTTATTGACTTAAGAAATGAAGTGCCTGATCTAGTGCTCTCTAGTGCTCTGGCAAACCAAAGCTGACCCTTTCTGGTTCTTTTCAGATAGCCTGCAAGTGTGAAGCCCCTCTTCCCCAGAAGGTCCTTTCTATGCATCTATCCAGTGCGTTCTAGTCCTTTCTTCCCATAGCTCCAATACACTGGTCTCTGTTTCTTTTAAGCCTGAGATGGGTAGAATCTGTGTTTGGAATTTGGGTTGTAGCAGGGCTGTGTCCTGGCCCAGCCATCTATAACATGCCTTCTGGCAACTCAAGTGCCCAGAGCTATTTCGTATGAACTGTGAAAACCACACTTCTTAATTATGTGATAAAATCCAAGTCTGTTTTTGTTCAGTGCTAATCTCTGTCTTAAGTCCTGGCATTTAAAGGGAAAGCCTTAATCCTTGTAGTCACCCAGCCCAGTTTCTAGCCACATGAAGTATTCACTACTCTGCCCCCATACTCATGTTGCCTTGCCCTCTGATTTCACTCATCTTTCTGGTGAACTTTACTTACCCACTGATCCCAACCTGGGTCCTTCTAGTAACTTTTCCAGAGAGAATATCAGCAAATGATAGATTTCCCAGCCAGATCTGTGCTTGGGTAGCTATTTCTGCCAAAAGGCTCTCATAACACCCTGCTGTAGGAGCTATCGTATTGAGATGATGTAAGGATTAATCTTGTTCCATCTGTACTATATACTTTCTTTTTAAAAAAATGTTTATTATATGTATAGCATTCTGCATGCATGTACACCTGCATGCCAGAAGAGGGCACCAGATCTTGTAATAGATGGTTGTGAGCCATCATGTGTTTGCTGGGACTTGAGCTCAGGACCTCTGAAAGGGCAACCCGTGCTCTTAACCTCTGAGCCATCTCTACAGCCCTCTATACTTTCTTCTTAAGTATAGGGAGCAAGTGGAGTAAAATTCTAGGGGCCTTGAACTCTACATGATATATGTCTTACTGCAGCTGAAGGCTGCATTAGGATTAGTTTTTGTTGTTGGTTGGTTTTTTGGAGGATAGAGTCTTAAGAGAACCCCATCATCCCCCTGGGTGTGTTCAGTAGTCCTCAGCTGTGAACCACTACCCTGACGTACCTAAGACCCATGAGCTCATTTTTCTGATCTCAAGCTGCTTTTAGCCAGGCATGGTGGTCCATGCCTTTAATCCCAGCACGGGAGGGGGGTCAGGTGAATCTCTAAGTTCAAGGCTGGTTTGGTCTACAAAGAGTTTTAGGACAGCCAGTGCTACATAGAGAAACCCTGCAAAACGTTTCCTTCTGTGACAAGTAAGAGGCTAGTTGGGAAGATTCCCTAAGTTCATTCAGTGGCTTACTGCAGTCCAGAGCGCCAGGAAAGTGTTAGAGAAGGTTTCTGATTGCTTGTAGGAGCACAAGTGGAGCAGAAAAGATGTCACAGCCTGAGTCTAATCACTAATGCCTGCTCTGAATTTAACTGCCCTACACCAACTGCTTTTAGTCAGTGAAATGGGTTTGTTTATAAAGAAAACAAAAAAGACATGAAAGCATGCTTTTCACTAGGTTGGGTTCAATACATGGAGAATTCCCTGTGCCAAAGCCAAGAACTGATCGTCCAAGACAACCTCGCATGATCGAAGAGCAGCGGTCAATGCCTGCCCAGGTTTGTTTTCAAATACCGCTTTTTAGACTAATCTATACTTAATACAGTATACAAGCAATTGGGTGTGGTGGGGCTGGAGGCCAGCTTGGTTTACACACCAAGTTCTAGGCCAGGCCAGCCAGAGCTAAGTAGTAACACCCTGACTCTGTTTTAAAAAAAGAAAAAAAGAGGTTGTAAGTATCTAAGTGTTAGGGTCTAGAGTCAGGGTATAGTCATTTAAATACTTTATTTAAAATGTCTCTTAACATTTTGGGATTGACCACTTTAATTCATTTCTGTGGTTTTAATCCATTCAAAACCAGAGTTTCTCAACCCTGGTGCTGTCAGCATTAGGGCTGGGTAAATCTTACTGTGAGGAAACTGGCCTAGGCATTGTGAAATGTTTAGAATTCTTGGGCACTACTGACTGAATGCTTACAGCGCCACCCATCCCAACTGTAGGCAAAAATGTCCCCAGTATCCACCCCTGTCAGGCAAGAGCAAGTCCAGTTGAGAAGTGCTGTCCTGAACTCTATGTTGGGACTTTATGTTTACTCTAGACACAGTTGAGCTAGCAGTTTGGTAGTGTTACCCTTCTACTAATAAGAATACAGGAATATTACTGAGGAAAACCTTTTTAAACTTTAAAATTAAAATATCTTTAATTTTAAGGTGTGTAAATTTAAAAGGTAGCAAGCCCAACCAAAACTTTGAAGTTTGGATGGTCAATGGGGAAGGAAAGATTATTTACTGACATGTGAGGGGTGAGTGAGCCTGATGATGATTTTCTTTCCCAGTTGAAATGCATGGAAGAATCTCATCAAGAAGCAACTGAGAAAGAAGTAGAAAGAATCTTGGGACTGCTGCAGACATACTTTAGAGAAGACCGTAAGTATTGGCACCAAATGAAAAAGAGCAGCCACTGGTGTTTATCAGGCATCACTCTCTGCAAGGTTATTTTATTTAAAAGGCATTTTCAGTTGCATATATTTGAGTTATTTTGATTCTTTCCATTTGTTTGTTTATGAGTTCAGTATAGTCTAGACTGGCCTGGAATTCATGGCAGTCCCCCAGCTTTAGCCTCCCGAGTGCAGGGATCACATGCATAAGACACAGCACCTGTCTCACTGTTTTTTTGTTGTTGTTGTTGTTGTTTGTTTGTTTAATTTTTTTTTATTTTTTTTGTTTTTGTTTTTTGTTGTTCTTTTTTGTCAAACATTTTATGAAGCTTTTCCTTTTATTACCCCATGTGAGAATGTTGATAAAGTAACTTAACCTAAGCCACTCTTTCTTTTAGAAAAGGATTTGTTATCTTTATTTTATGTGTATGGGTGTTTTGCCTGCCCGTATGTCCGCATACAACACACATGCCTGGTGCCTGTGTTCTTAACCTCGGAGCCATGTCTCCAGCCCCTGATAAAGTATCTACCGCCTTCCTATTCCCCATGATGGTCACTTGTCAAACATGAGGTGCCTGTTCTAATAATGTTTTCTGTTTGTTTCATGTAGACGTACATGTCATTAGGTTTTTGTTGCTGTTAGTTTTTGTCTTGGGGTTACTTTCACTTTCCTTTTTTTCCCCAAACTAATCATGACACACACTTTCTGCAATATGACTTCCCTATAAACGTTCTTCTGCATCTTAGAGCTTGCCCCTATTCTCAGAACTTCCCATGCTATGGCTGTATTATAAATATGGTTAATAATCATTATCACTGCAAAGGTTCTTTGTTGTACTTTCTTGTTGTGCAGACTGCTGAAGTGAAAATCATTGTCTAACCTGGTATGTGTGAGCCCTTGTTCTGAGGGTGGCTGCCAGGTCAGTGAGCATCTGTGTTTTAATAGAAATGCCAAACTGACCTTGAGAGTGGGTTACTGCCCACAGCAGAAGGCTTGTCTGTTCCTTCTTTTGTCTCTGGTGAATGTTAGGGCAAAGATCTTATTGTGAAGCAAAAATCTTTTTTGTGTGTTTTGAAGATTGTCTTTTTTTTTTTTTTTCTATAGCTGATACTCCAATGTCCTTTTTTGATTTTGTGGTTGATCCACATTCTTTCCCCCGTACGGTGGAAAACATCTTTCATGTTTCCTTCATTATACGGGTAAGGTTTTAGATTTCTCTTAACGTCTTTTATGTTTTTAAAATGATATACAGCTGATAGAGGTATTTGTCCATTATAGCAGAATATTAGTTGTGTGTTAGATAAACTAAAATTTATGGCTTGCCTTTAATTTTTAAGATCACAAGGTGAGGGCTGGAGAGATGGCTCAGAGGCTAAAAGCACTGGCTGTTCTTCCAAAGGTCCTGAGTTCAATTCCCAGCAACCACATGGTAGCTCATAACCATCTATAGTGAGATCTGGTGCTCTCTTCTGGCACGCAGGCATACATCCAGGCAGAATACTGATTAAATAATAATTAAATCTTAAAACAAACAAACAAAAAAGATCACAAGGTGAACATTAACCATCTGAAAAGCTCAAACCTTGAAACATGATACCATAATTGGAAAATTCACAACTACTGAAGCAGGCCCATTAAACAGAATATAAAGTTACTTCTGGAGGCTGGAGAGATGGCTCAGTGGTTAAGAGCACTGGCTGCTCTTCTATAGGACCTGAGTTCAATTCCCTGTAACCACATAACAGCTCACAACTGTCTCTAACTCTAGCTCTGGGAGATCTGACATCCTCACACAGACATACATGCAAGTAAAACACCAATGCACATAACATTAAAAAAAGAGAGAGAGAGAGACAGAGGCAGGCGTGTATCTGTGAGTTTGAGGCCAACCTGGTCTACAGAGTGGGTTCCAGGACAGCCAAAACTGCACAGAGAAACCCTGTCTCGAAAAACAAACAAACAAACAAACAAACAAAGTTACTTCTGGTAGGGTAAGGTGTATATGGAACATACATGAATTTCATGTTTAGATTAGGTCCCAACTTCACGATACCTTATTGTATCTGTGCAGATAGTCCCAAATACCCACAAATTTGAAACACTTCAGTTATAATAGTAAAGCTTGAATATGAAATGATTAAAATACAGTAAAGTTCCTGAAGTTTCTGTGCTATATAAAATAAGCTTGCTGGGTGGCGGTGGTAGTGTCGAGTGCCTTTAATCCCAGCGTGGGAGGCAGAGGCAGGCAGATCTTATGATCAAGGCAGCCTCTGGAACAGGCCGAGTTCCAGGACAGCCAGGGCTGCCCAGAGAAACTGTCTCAAAAACAACCAACCAACCAAATAAATAAATAAGCAAGCTTATTCTCAAGAAGCAGACACTGAAGAAGCAGGAGAAGGGACCATTCCTGGGTATAATCCTCACATCTCACATAGTAACAACAGAGAAAGAAAATGAGACAAAACAGCTGGTAAATGTGGATAAAGGATCTATAGGAGGGCTTTATAGTATTGTAGCTCATCAAATGTGAAATTTTTCAAAATCATTAAAACAAAACCCTATCAATGTGCAATAGATATTTGAATTAAGACTTGAGTTTTAAACTGTGTTACATTCCTCAATATGTAAGATGAATCTGGTTTTTAACTTTAGACAAAAGCTTCTATTTACCCCATGTATTCTGTCAAACAGCAGAGGCAAGTTTGCCGGTGGCCCCAAAGACAGAATTACATGTAATAAAGTGTGGAAGGTATGGAGTAGAGCACATAAATCAGTTCGAGAACCAGATGGCTGCTCCTAAGGTTTCTCAGGCTTGAGGTCTGATGGGTTGACACAGTGGGTAAAAGCTCTCGCCAGGTCTCATCTGGGTTTCATCCCCAGGACCCACATGGGTGGAGGAGAGAACCGACTTTACAACTTGTCCTTCAACTTCCATAAGCGCACCATAGTGCCACTCCATTCCTCAGATGAATAAATGTATAATAATATAATAATTATAATAAAGTCAGCATGGAACCTGTATTTAAAAATGGAGATATGAGCAACACTCTGCGAAGGAAGATGTGAGAAAAGTCTTGTCTGTAACCTTAGGGTACGGACAACTTTTGGCTGTCTGAAATACAGACTTTTTTTTTTTTTTTCTTGCAGTAAATTTTGATGTTTCAAATCGTATTTTTGTTTTAGGATGGTTTTGCAAGAATAAGACTTGACCAAGACCGACTACCAATAATAGGTAAGTGACACTGTATTTATAGACGTTAGGGACAGGAGAGATGGATGGCTCAGAGGTTAAGAGCACTGGTTGCTCTTCCAGAGTCCTGAATTCAATTCTCAGCAACCACATGGTGGCTCATAGCCATCTGTTAATGAGATCTGGTGCCCTCTTCTGGCCTGTAGGCATACATGCAGGCAGGACACTGTATACATAGTAAATAAATAAATAAACAAATAAATAAATAAATTTTTTTTTTTTTTTAAAAAGTTAGTTTTAGAAAATGTTAGAGTTTATGAAATGCATTTTATTTTACTAAATGCAAGGTCTTTCTTTGTGATGGTCTTTCTTCACGGCACAGGCTGTGTAGTCCAGGCTGGCCTTAAACTCTCAAATCCTCCTGCATCAATCTTTTTAGTGCTGGAATGAAAAGCTTATTTGTGTTGTTGTATTTTTGTTGTTTTTGAGATAGGGTTTCTCTAAATAGCCCTGGCTGTTCAGGAATTCACTGTGTAGACCAGGCAGACCTGGCACTCAAGAGATCTGCCTGCTTCTCATTCTTCTAACTCTGCCTCCCAAGTGCAAGGATGAAAGGCTTGTGCTACTACACGTGTTTTTTTGTAGTTGTTTTTTAGTTGGTTTTGGTTTTTTGAAACAGGGTTTCTCTATGTAGCCTTGGCTGTGCCTCCCTGAGTGCTAGGATTACAGGTATACGCCACCACGCCTGGCTACTGTTTTTTTTTTAAACCCCAGAAGTTCTGCCACTGAGACAGTCTTACCATATGTCAGTAGCTAGCCTTGAACTTGCTATGTAGGACATACTGGCTTTGAACTCAAGGAGATCTACATGTCTCTGTCTCCTGGGTATTATTGGGATTCAAAGCATGTGCCACCATGCCTGATAAATTCCCATTTTTAATAAAATTTATATAAACAAAATTTATCTTTCATAGTTAACTAAAAATTCTGAAGATAGAAGCGTGGTTTAAAACTGATGGATTGAGTGATAAATTCCATTAAATTTTAATGTTTGTAATTACAGTCATTTTTGTAGTTTGCTTCTTTCTCACCACCACTTGTTCATGACACCAGTACCTCTCTCTGAGGTTGTGTGCTATTTCATTCTTCCCAGCTTACAGTCTCTCTCTCTCATGCCCTTCTGATGTCTCTGGTGGAGAACTAAGGGCTTTGACTCCAGTTAACCTGTTACACGTTCTCAGTTTCATATTGGAGTGATGAAAGCTTAGCTAAGTGGCTAGTGCGCAGGTATGCTAACATGTTTAGAGCATGAAATACTATGATTAATGTGGAAAGTCAGCGTAGTCACTGTCTGCTGAACTAAGCCTGTGGTGCGTGAAATCCTAGAAAGTACGCACAGTATCTTCTCAGTACAAACATCACTCCTATTATCATTTGCTGTTCAAGTTACCTATTCTGACTGATGAGGTTTGAAAACTTTTGTCTTTCAAACAGAGCCAGTGATTAATGAAGAAAGCGAGGGAATTGACCAAAACACTCAAATTAGGAGTCAAGGAATTATAGCTTTGAGTTATCATGACTGGGAGGTAAGGCCCTGCCTGTCGCCCAGCATGGTTTTGATCTGGACCTCATTCGCTGTGAGCCCACTGTCTAAATGTTCCTTGTTTCTGAGCAGGAGATTGTGAAGACCTTTGAGATTTCTGAGCCTGTGATCTCTCTGAGTCAGAGCCAGCAGCGGCTAAGTGCCTGATGCCAGCTGAAGGTAACATTGTCCACACTATGGCCACACAGTTGTATTAAAATTTTGTTAGGCAACCCAAGCCATAGTAGTTCCTCATTCCCATGAAATTTGGGGTTTGCCTCCCTCTAGTGTCCATCCGTAGAACTGTGTAACTGGTAAGGAAGGCAGGAGCCAGCATGGGGCCTGTGACTTAGGTGTTTTTAAAGGCTGTAGGTGAAAGAGCAATGCAGGAGGATTCTTTTATTAGTTTGTTTTCACCTAACAATAAATAAGTGAAATATGGAATCCTCTCCAGTGTCGCTCACTGTTCTGTTAGATTTCTTATTTAATAGGCACAAAGCAGAAAAGCATGGTGAGAATGTAATTACCTTAGAGTAATGCTAGTAAATAGACATTTCTGAAGTGAATTATGCTATGGGGGAAAACCCTTCAGTTTTACAAAGGGGAACATTTCTAGAAAGAAATCTTAGTAGCAATGATGTGCCATTCTGTACTGAAGACAGCAATGGGTGGAACTGACCTTGACTCTGTTGGCCCTGCCCCTTTAAAACCTGTGGAGTCACTTCACTTTACACATTTATTTTCTTTATCTGTAGGTCTATATATAAAGTAACTTTAAAGTACTTTATGTAAACTCAGTCTATATTTCAATTAACTAACGTCTTTGGTTTCAAGGTAGCTTACCTCTGTTAGACTAGCTTGAGGGAGAGGAACTCTGTGAAGATAGAGTGGTTTCACCCGGTCCTACTCACTGACGAAGGGCCCGCTAGTAGATTGCATTTGTGTGTATAACATGAGCTCCGGTCTATCAGCTATTAACCAGCTGTCTTCCTTCTTTTGTTTGTTTGTTTTAGGACTGAAGGCAATAGTGAAATCCTGAGAGGAAAGCAGCATGTGTTGTATATATGTATAATGTTTTTAAAGGTGAAGATTGTTTTTAGTAAATTGTAGCTTTTGATAGTTAATAGCTTTGTCATGGTTGTCTTTGATTAAAGGAAATTCACTGCCATATTCACAAATAATTGTCTTTATTGTCTCCTGGGGTGGGGATGTGTGGCAGAGTGTAGTCCTTTTTCTAGTCCTGCCCCAGTAAAAGTTGTACTTAAGTTGTTAGTGCATGATAGATAATATAGTGCTTTTTATGTCTCTTTACTTACAAAGTTAACTGGCCAAGCCAACAGATAATAGGTTGTGCCAGATGAACTTTCTTTCTTTTTGTAGATTAAAATGGTCAAATATTTTTTTGATGTAACTTGGCCTGTGCTGTACACTCAAGGAGCTGTTTCATCTTCTGGCAAGTCAGGCTGGACCATGCCCCTAGCAGCAACAAGTGGGTCCGTCCTGCTGCGTGTTCCTCTGCCCTTGGGCTTGGGCTTTTTAGCCGGTCCTTTATATTTTCTGGGTTCCATCTCCCTAGCTTTTTATAGAAATTGTGGTACATTTACACAGTGGAATACTAAGCTATTAAAAACGAGGAAATCATGACATTTGCAGGCAAATGGTGGGAACTAGAAAAGATCATCCTGAGTGAGGTATCCCAGAAGCAGAAAGACTCACATGGTATATACTCACTTTTAAGTGGATATTAGTTATATAATATGGGATAAACAGAATCTATTCTCCTAAAGAAACTAAAAAAGAAGCCCTAGGGAAGTTGCTAAGTCCTCACTCAGAAAGCAAATGGGAGAAAACGGAACAGGACAGGAGCCTACCACAGAGGGTCTCTGAAAAGATTACCCAGCAGGGTATCAAAGCAGATACTGAGACTTGTAGCCAAACTTTGGGCAGAGTGCAGGGAGTCTTATAAAAGAAGGGGGAGATAGATAGACCTGGAGGGGACAGAAGCTCCACAAGAAGAGCAACAGAACCAAAAAATGTGGGCCCAGGGGTCTTTTCTGAGACTGATAACTCCAACCAAGGCCCATGCATGGAGCCCCTTGCTCAGATGTAGCCCATGGCAGCTCAGTCTCCAAGTGGGTTCCATAGTAAGGGGAGCAGGGGCTGTATCTGACATGAACTTAGTAGCTTGCTCTTTGATCACCTCCCCCTGCGGGGAGTGCAGCTGTACCAGGCCACAGAGGAAGACAATGCAGCCAATCCTGATGAGACCTGATAGGCTATGATCAGATGGAATGGGAGGAGAAGAGGGAGGGAGGACGACATTGGTAGGGGATGAGGGAGGGGGTTACAGCTGAGATACAAAGTGAATAAATTGTAATAATAAAAAAAAAACATTTTCTTAAAAGTTTATGTGTATATAATGTTTTGACTACATATACACTTACAGGTCAGAAGAGAGCATGGGATTTCAACATAGATGGTTGTGAGCCACCATGTGGTTGCTGGGAATTGAATGCAGGACCTCTGGAAGAGCAGCCAGTGCTCTTAACCTCTGAGCCATCTCTTCAGCACCATCCTTTCCCTCTTATTTTCATAAAAAGACTCTGGATTCAAGTCTTTTTATGGATTCAAGGGACTAACCTTTCAGTCATCCCTTCTACTTAGCGTTTGAAACTGCTTCTCTCTTAAAAAGAAAAAAATCCTGTGGTTCTCAGCAAGCTAAGTCTTCTTTAAATAGAATCACTTAGTGGCTGGTGAGATGGCTCAGTGAGTGAATGTTTCATACCCACATAAACCTGGGAGGAGGGAATCAGTAACTCCGGCCTCCACATGTGTGCTGTGTGGCGTGCTCCTCCCGATGATCTATACAAACAGTAATACATAAGAATTTACTAAGAATCACTTGGAAATCTGTCCACTCACAAACCCTGGCAGAGTAGTTCTTCCTTTTCTGAATGTCTGTTGTGCCACTTTTATGAATTCCTTTCCAACTTAACTCCAATGGATAATGCTGTATATTTGATGTGAAATTTTATACCTTGAAATATATATATATGTATATGTATACATATATATATATATACACACACACATATATTTGGACTTTTTGTGTGTGTAGTTCTGGCTGTCCTGGAACTCTCTAGATCAGGCTGGCCTTGAACTCACAGAGATCTGCCTGTTTCTTTCTCCCGAACGCTGGAGAAAGAATGTACATTCTTGATGTCTGTCCCTGGTTCCCTTCCGCTGCTTTACTGCTTTGCTTTATACTGTAATGCATTTATATTGGAAATAGTCTCAAAACTTTTTATGTGTCTAAACTTGAAGAGGCTAGATCTATGGTGATTATTGGTCAGTTCATGGGTCCTTTAACAACGTGTAATAAAGCCACTTCCTGAATCCTAAAATCCCTGCACCAACATTTTCCCCGTCTTTCGCAGGATTTCTTTCATTCTGTAACCCTCTCTTCCCCACCTTAAACCGGTCTATACTTCTCTTATGGTCCTCGTCCCATCTTGCCCAGACTACTACCCGGACACCTATTTACTAACCATTATTTTGTCTGTCCATACCTCTTGTCAGTTTCTCAGTAATCACAAAGTAATCACAACTGCCTTCAGGGTTTTACTTATTTTTGCCTATGTGTATATATGAGGTGTGTGCGCATGTGTATGTCTGTTAAGGGCACGTGTACACCCGAAGTGCATGTCTAGTACTTCAGGGATAAACCTGGGTCCCAGTCCTCCTCTGCCGCCTTGGTTGAGGCGGGGTTTGTTTGTTGTTGCGCTATAGTGCTGCCCAAGAGTTTCCGAGGGATTTTGTTTCCACCTTCTATCTGGCTATGAGCCTACTGGGACTACAGACATGTGCACCCCTGTCTGGGTTTTTACATGAGTTCTGGGGATCTGAGCTCAAGTTGTCAGGCTTGTATTAACAGGCACTTTTGCTTGCTGAGCTGTCTCCCCTGCCCTGCCTTCAGGGTTTTAAAGGCGTAAACTTTCTAATGATGTCTAAGGACGATAGACCCTTGGTCTACAGTTTTAGGATTAATCCCTCTTCTCTAAACACTATCAATCTTCTTTTTTTTCCGTCAAAACAGCTTTATTGAGAGTATACACACAATCCAACTCATCCAATTAGGGTGTGATCTGGTGTCATAAAATCAATTAATGGAGCATGCAACCATTATCAAAATACCATAGTACACCTCCCCCTTTTATACCATTAGCCATCATTCTGTACTTTAACTTTCCTACTCCTTAGCCTGGTGACTACCATAAAAATGGAACCATACAACCTGTGCTCTCAACACCATGGTTTTTCAATTATGTATGTCTGCAGCTGCCATTTTCCCCTTTTAATGTGTGTTTTCTATGATTTCATTACCGATTTCTATAAAATAGGCTAATCTAAGAAAGAAATACAATAATCAATAAAGTAGTTTAAGCCTTTTCTTTTCTACTTGGCTTTTCATAAATGGTGGCATTTTCAGGCGTTGCCTTTCGGGTGGTTTTTGTGCTTCATCCATGTTTGACTTTTCCATCAAAATAGTTACTTTGATAACTTTTTTCCGGGAAGGCTGGAAGAGAGGATAAGCTGTGACTTTTTCAAACTCTTTCTCTTCCTCTGTCATCACTTGCAGTTTTAAGCGAGGGTGATCATGGCTGGTGAAGCTTTGAGTCTTCCTTTGGATATTTTTCTGCTCTGTGAGCTCTCTCCCTCTAATCATTCGGTCTTTATGTTGCGTCATCTGTTCCTTTGACCATGCTTTTTTAGGCCTTTGGGGTACAGTTTTATGTGTTTTCTGGACATTATTCTTTGGTATTAGTGGGTAAAGTGTTTCACTTGGAATTTTCTGAGGGAGTGGTCGGTATTTGTGGTCTCTGAGGCCTCTAGCCCGTTCAGCTCTGAGTATGTGTTTTTCTATGTGATAAATTTCTCTCTCAGGCACTAGATAGTCCCACTTTTTAGCATTGTCTGGTGTTTTGCTTCTGGACATCTTCTCCGCCTCTGGGTCGGCGTCACACTCTGGACTTGGTTTGTAATTCCATGCTTCTCTGATCAAGCGTTGGCGTCGATGGTGCAAGGCATCTGCTTTAGCAAACCGTAAGTCAAAAGACATGGTCTTAAGTTTATCAACTGTTTCACTCTCCTGTTGGAACTCCTGGACTAACAGTTTTCTCACTCGTGAAGAATGGGTGCCACCTAAACTCTTGTCAGAGGGAGTAATCAGAACTTTTTAAGTTGGATATACTTTATTCTAGTTCCACAGTACAGCTCTCAATGGGCTATTACTTTTGTTGGCATTCCTACACCATACCCAGTTTGGATCTAACTTTCTCCCCCTTTAAGCCTCCTATACTTTTCCCCTGGACTGTGTTCCTTCCTAGGTGAGGACTCTGACTTAGAATTCCCTTAGAAAGTGGAAGTATCCCCCTTCCCACCATCCGAGCCACCACCCATCCATCCAAGCTATCTTCTTGCTATTGTACTGGAAACATTATTGTCTAGCAAAAGCTAATTCTTCACTTGTGCTTATTGAGCTTCAAAGATTTCAATTCTGCATCATCAAAACTACCAACTGGGTCACTTGAGTCAGCATAAAGGACACCTCAGCACAAATGATTGTAAAAAAAAAAATTCTTCCTTGCTTCATGGCCTTGGCTTTTACCCCTCTTCTATCTCATTTGCTGAATATCCCTGTTTTTTTAGCCTCTCTTATGGCTACCCCTCTATCAGTCTTACTAGTCTGTCCTTAACACAAGCACATTTAGCCTGTCTTGCATGGATGCTCATTAAGCAAGGTGCTATTCCATGGATCAGGTACTGATTAGAAGTAGACTGAACAAAACTTGTAAGCCACATTGACAAGATACTTCCCTGTTCCCAATTTCACACCTGGTCACTATTTAACATCTCTACCTGCTACTTTCTCCAGTTTCCACCTTTCAGTCCTACCACTCCCAGCTTCATTTCTGTTTTCCTTTAATCCTCCTACCTCTATCTCAGCGTGTTAGCCCAGTTATCTGAGTCTATACTTTTGCCCCATTTTCTCCAAGCCCATCAAACTAACCACTGTGGCCAGAGTGATCTTTTATTACATAAATTAAGCATGTCACTTTCTTGCAGTAGCTTACTACATTTAGGAGAGGACCTCAAATCCCTGTGTAGTGTCCACGGTCTCTCATTTACCCTCAAACCATGTTCTCGGCTCACTCTATATTCATTATGCTTCAGCTACACTTAATTCTGTTCCCCAAGACACTATTCTCCTTCCCACACGAATACACTCTTCCTAAATGCACATCAGTAACTCTGTGATAGGCATTTTTATAACTTTTGCGATCTCAGCTGGCACACTATTTCCTCTAACCTTACACAGTCTTCAGAGAAAACCTAATACTGTTGTGACATCACAATTTATGGGAAACAATTCTTTAGTATTGTCTCTTACTGGAACAAGTCCTATGAAAGTATAGTGATATTTGTTTTGTTCAGTGCTGTCTAGCCAGCACTGCTCAAAGAACCAAATATGGAACTAAGCCTGCAGCTGAACATTGTCCCCTGCAATGCTCAGGCCCATTTTACCTCCAAGAAACTTTATGATCTTATTATAGAATCCAAAGTTCATGCCAAATGTATTTCCTCACCTTAATTTTCTTTTCTAGTGGGGAACAGGAACCTACTGCAATCCGGGGGTCTTGAGTACTCTTAGCCCAGGCCAATCTAGAAGAAAAGAGAAATCATACTGGGATTGGAGAAAGGTGTCTGGAAATATGCTCTGGGATGAAGTGCAATAGGGAGTCATTTGGGACCTGCTTTTCCTAAGTAGCAGAAGGCCCTTCTCTCTGCCAGAAGGTGGAACTCTGTTTAGCTTCTGTCTTCACATAATGAAGGGATGTCAGTACTTTTGATTAAAGTCTAAAGGAGCCGTCGTATTTTGTTTGGGGTTCTAAATGTCAGAAACACTTTTAACACCAGAGAAGAAAGGCTGAGTCACTATTACTATTTCAAATACCACAAACCACTATATTTATATATTGTAAGAGAAAAATAAGTTTTGATGTGAAAATTTTCAAATATAACTTTATTTTAATTGAAGTTACATATAAATATATAAGAGGTGTCCCACAATAATTGCCTAATTATAATGGTCCATGATTCTTATCACTTAAAATTGAGTATTTATTTAATTGGGTTATGAATCTCACCTTTAATGGCTGAGCCATCTCTTTGGCACCATTTTTTTTTTAAAGACAGATTCTCATTATGTAGGCCTGGCTGGCATGTAACTTACAGAGATCTGCCTGCCTTTTTCTCCATTATGCCTGGCTGTATAATTACCCTTTAAATATAAAACAAGTGAAAGATAAGTTTTAAAACTTAATGAAGAAAAATATAGCAGGGAAATTTGTTCTTTAGGATGGAGTAAAGGCACATGCAGACATGGAATTCTCTTATTTATTAACCTAATTAGTGCAACCAACTTAAGCATAAATACTATCAGCAACAGAAGGGTTTATCACAGAATTGTACAAAACCCTCATCGTAGTTCTTATTTTATTTCTGCTACTTCTTTAAGAGTTTATGTTGTTACCATAGCAACAGTTCTTGAATTTATACTAAGTACTGTTTTATAATATATTGTTTTATACTAAATACTGTTTTATAAAATATAATATTCCTTAATCTTCCAAACAGTCCCATGAGGCTAGTATTCATTCCCTACTTGTTGCAAAGAGGATGGAAGCCATGAAAGTTAGTGACTTATTAGTAGTTTGGGTATTAGTTTCTTTTTTTATATATAATTTATTTAATTTTATTTTATGTGCGTTGGTGGGAAGGTGTCAGACCACCTGGAACTGGAGTTATAGACAGTTATGCTGCCATGTGGGTGCTGGGAGTTGAACTTGGGTCCTTTGGAGGAATAGACAGCTCTCTTAAGCCCTGAGCCATCTCTCCAGCCCTGGGTATTAGTTTCTTAGGTCACTGAGTCCCATGATTTGCTCCCAGATGTGGACATACATTCTTTTGCCTATACCCCAAAGGAGGGAACACTTACTGTTCCTCTGCACTCAGACCAGACCACTCTGAGTCTGCCAAAATGGGCGGCTGTGAGGTGACAGGCCTCAGTGTTCTGCTCTTCGGTGGTAGTCTTGCACTGCATGTTCTTCTTGAAGCGCATGTGGTCATTTGTGCTGGCTCCATTCTCTGGTGCCCTTTCTCTGCAGTGCTCTCGGCTTCAGCCACTGCCCTGCTATTTGCCAGCTTTGTTGAACCGCATCTTTGCTCTTCACTCTGCCGCTGCGCTTCCTTTCCTCAGCTCTAATTTTTCTTTCTCTATTCTGCAAAGAATTGGTTTCTAGCCACTGAATTTCTGCTCTCAGTTCAGATTCTCACCTGTCCACTGTTGACCCTTAAGGATGCCTTGGATTGATTTCTAAGGCAACACTTTCTGTGTGTCAGCACTGTTCCGGAAGGAGCCTACTGTGAGGCGGTATATGACAATATAGTCTGTTGGCAGGGAGAACACTTCCCTTTGTGTGAGTTGCTCAGCAACGAGAAGGAACCATTTCTTAAAGACATGGAGACTCAACTATAGTATAGGTAGTCAGAGACAGTTTCTAAGAGCACTGAGGGCCTCTTTTCAAGTTTTGTGTTTTAGAACATAAACTAGACGTTCCATGTGAATGAAACCCATAGAAATACTTGATGATCCTACATATCTGTGTTGTTGGAGACTAGATGTGTGTGCTGATGGTCCAGATAAGGTCTCATCATTTCCTAGTGGTATGTCTCTCAGCTAAATACTGCATTGACAGAGGTTGTAATATATCCTTAGTCACATTAATTTATGCTCATAACTGACCAGCACTTAAAGGAAGCAGAAAGTATCTCTGTTAAAATAAAAATAAAAATAAAATAAAATAAAATAAAATAAAAATTAATGAAAAACCATACAAATTAATGACATTTTATATATAGAAATTATTTATCCCGACAGAATTATCCTGTAGCCTATTGAGATATCTTTAGTTCTTAGAAATACATTGTTAAAAGGAGAAATTATGATCAATTTAAACCTGGCTTCTTTTTATTAGAAATCAATCCATTCCTCTCAAAATGTGGTTTGCAAAGAATACTTGAAAACTGCAGGTTCCAAATAAACCATCCAGAAACAAGGCTATAAAAATAGGTATGTTTATCTTATGTTAAAAAAAAAATCAACCTACTTCAAATATCAGGTCATAAAGTGGTTATTTAAATTTCAAACTTATTTTGATATTCATTTGCTCTCTAAACCTAACATGAGGTCATTTTTAAACTTGAAAACCATGACACTCAGATCAGTCATATGCTAACTAGCCCACAACTTTAGATACCTCGAACCTGCACGCACTGTATTATGACATTCTTTTTACTTACTTACCATGTCCCTTCTATTAACTGAAAACTTACTGGCTGAGTACCGCATGAAGTACCCATCTTGTTGATTGTTGAGCCTCATAGGAAAGTGGAACTCTCTTTTGATGAAGAGAAATGTGTAGTTCTGAGTATAAGCTTCCTGTTAAGTAAGCAATAAGCTTAAGTCCAAACTGACAGAAGTTACATCGAGTATAAGAGTGTTTGCAAGCCAGGAAGTCAATCGGGGTGAAACAATCTGTGAGGAAGGAAGACTAGACTTTGCTGGCACACGGGGAAGGTGGTTTGATTTGTATTTTCTTTATGGTAAGTAGAAAAAGAATTATGCTAAATTTTAACCCTTCATAAAAAAATCACACACACAAATATCTTTATGAGAAATCCTGGCTCGTGAAGATGATGGGTTCTGAACAAAAGCTGACAACATCTCATGTCAGTTGAACTTCACAGTGTAATGTCGGAGTAACTATGGCATTGGGATAACTATATTTAAATGGGTCTATTTTGGAGTTGTCCTTTCGCCAGTATTGTACTGTCTTTAATAACATAGGTAGGCGTTTGCATGTGTGTGTGTTTGTGTATATGTGTGATGTGTGTTCATGTTCATGCAGAGCCCCAAAGAGATTATATTCCTTTGAGAAAAGGTATCTCCCATAACCTGTCTCAGATCCTCCTGTTTTTGCCCCCTTCTTAGATCTGAGTATACACGTATCTGTTCAGATGCCCAACTTGTTATGAGACTGTAGAACAAGCATTTTTTTTTTTTTTTCTAAGACAGGCTTTCACTTTGTAGCCCTGGTTGGCTTGGAACACTCTGTAGATCAGTCTGGCCTTGAAGTTACAGAGATCAGCATGCCTCTACCTTCTTAGTGCTGGGACTACGGGTGTGTGCTATAAACATTATTAACTACTGAGTCATCTCTTCATCCCTTTCCCCAATTAATATAGTTTTTATAGTAAGTTTTGAAGTCAGGTAATGTCAGTTATCTAATTCTGTTCTTCAGTATTTTGGATGTTCTGTTTTGTAGGACTTCCAATACAAACTTTTAAGACAGCTTGTTAAAATATATAGCTTGTACCAGGCAAGGTGGTGCATGCTTATAATCCCAGCACTTGGGGATGCAGAGGCAGGAAGATCTCTGTGAGTTCGAGGCCAGCCTGGTCTACAAAGTGAGTCCAGGATAGCTAAGGCTACACAGAGAAACCCTGTCTCAACAAACAAACAAACAAACTCAGCAAAAAACCAGCTTGTTTAAGTTCAAAAAAATAACTTGCTGTGATTCTGACTGGGATTTCACTAAAGATCAAGCTGTAAGGAACTGGTCTTTCAACATTTTCACTTTTTTGTTTCAATGAATGAACATTATTTTAACATTTACTCAGATCTTTCTTTCATTTCATATTTGTGGTGTTTAGAGTGTAGCCGGTGCCTATTTTTTTGGTAAGATCTGTACTTAAGTATTTGTTTTTGTAATGCTAATGTAAATGGTATTGTTTTTAACTTCAAATTCAAAATTTCATTCAGACAAATCAGAAAGCAAATGACTTGTATATTAATTTTGTACTCTGTATCTTTGTTATAATTATTAGTTTATATTTCTTCATCCCAGGCAATCATATCGTCTGTACAAAAAGATAGTTGAGTTTCTTCATTTCTAATTTATATGCCATTCATTTTGTCTCATTATACTGGTTAGAATTCTCAATATGCTGTTGAACAGGAAGGGAAACAGTGTGAGGGGATATCTTTGTTTGGTTCCTAATCTTATGGAGAACTATCTAGTTTTTTACTGTGGATTTAAGAAAGAAACTTATTTATTGAATAGACAGGGCCTTACTATTTAGCCTTGGCTGGCCTGGAACTCTTTTTATTTTTATTTTATATACACTGGTGTTTTGGCTACATCTGTGTGAGGGTGTCAGATCCCCTAGAACAGGATTTACACACAGTTGTGAACTGTCGTATGGGTGCTGGGAATTGAACCCCGGGTCCTCTGGAAGAGCAGCCAGTGCTTTTTTTAACTGCTGAGCTATATCTCTCCAGCTGGCCTGGAACTCTTTATGTAATCCTAGAACTCAGAGATTCCTCTCATCTACACACTTTTTACTATACAGTGTGTGTGTGTGTGTGTGTGTGTGTGTGTATGTTCTTCAGCATGTTCTAGTTCCTTATTCTTAGTTTGACAAAAGTTTTAATCATGAATGTGTTCTTTTGTCTATTACTGATACGATGACATGATCTTTCTTTACCTATTGATATGATAAATTATATTTGTTCCAATGTTGAGTCAGCTTTGTGTACCTGTAATAAACACTGCCTGTACTGTAATAAATCACTACCTGTGATTATAATTTTTAAATCTTGTTAGATTTGATTGCTAATATTCTGTTGATTTTTGCATTAGTATTCATTAGAAATAATGGTCTATAGTTTTCCTTTTATCCTTGTTTTGGCTAATAAGGTAATGCTGGCCCTTTGGAATAGGTTAAAACATATTTCATCTGCTTTTCAGTAAGAAAACTTCATAGAAATGGAATACTGTTTTCCTAAATATTTGGTATAACTTACTAGTGAAATTTGGGCCTTGTGTTAGCTTTTCATAGTTGTGAGATACCTGAAACGAACATGAGAGGCTGTGGGGGTGCATCTCATATTTAAACCATGACAGGCAGTTTTCTTTTCAAAGGTCATTAATTATTGATTTAATTTCTTTAGTAGCTATAGGCCTTTTCCTATTTTGTCTTTATTGGGTTTTGGTCAATAACTTCTGTCTCAGTTAGGTTTCTACTACTGAGATATATACTATGGCCAAAAGCAACTTGGGGAGGAAAGTTCTCAAGGTTACACTCCATCAGGACAGAAACTCAAGGCAGGAAACTTGTAGTGCTCTTTTTAAAAACTCTTTTATTTGGGGTTCCTTAAAGCCTCTCTCTTCCAACCTCCTAACCCTATGTAGGAGAGAGACGGTTAGTGGGGAGAGGGGACACAGACCCTTACTTCTCCTGGCTGTTTAGGGTTGGTGGGTTCTTAGGGGGCTATACCAATCTTTGTCAACAGCAAAAGCAGCAACCAGTTTCCTCCAAGACACTGCACCAGGAAGAAGCATCTCTCTCCTGTCTGAGCCACCATATCCATCTCTCTGATCTCTCTGATCTCTCTGGTCTTTCTAAACTGCCACTTGCCCCAACTCAGATGCCACTCCTCTCTTTATGGTCTTACCAGCTGGCAAAAAGACCACACTTAGCACAAGACAGCTGTGAACAAACTAAAGCCCAAAGTAAAATCCCACATTTGGGATTAAAACAAAAACATATGTACATAACATAACTGAGTTTAAAAGAAACCAAAACTTCCATTACAGAACCTGGAGGCAGGAACTACAGCAGAGATCGTGGAGAAATGCTGCTGAGCCTGCTTTTTTATATACCCCAGGACCACTGGCTCAGGGGTGGCTCCATCCACACCAGTCACTAGTTAAGAAAAATGTACTACAGACTTGCCTACAGGCAAATCTTATGGAGGCACTTTCTCAATTGACTTCCCAGTTGACTGTAACATGAGTCAAGTTGACATAAATCTAGCCAGGGCAGTATCTTTTAAAGAATTAATAGTTTTTCTATCTAAACTGTCATATTTGGGCACAAAAGCATTAATAATCTTTTATTACCCTTTTAATGCCTACGGGACCAGTAGGGACCTTTTATTCTCTTCTGAGGATCAACCCTGGGGTCTTCTGTCCCTTACCTCTGATACTGGTATTTTTGTTTGTCTTTGTTTTTAACTTAATGACCTTTATCCACTTTTTAGTTTCACTGATTTTTCTCACTTGATTTAATTTTACTGATGTCTGATCTGGTTTTTAATCTCTTCCAGTTTTGGATTTAATTTTTTCTTTAATTTCCCAAGGCAGAAATGTAAAGTATTGATTTAAAAATTTCTTCTGTAACATGTTCACTTAATGCTTTAAATTTGCAAGTGTGGCTTTGGTTGCATCTCACAAATTCTAATTTGAAGCTTAATATTTTTAAATTTTTATTGAGAGTTGACTCAAGCTTTTTTCTTTCTCTCTTATCTGGCTTGGACCCTGCTGTTTGCTTCAGTCTCCTAAGTGCTGGGAGTGCAGGTGGGCATATACCCCTCTTTAAGTGTTCTTTAGAAGTGTTAACTAGTTTGAAATTTTCTAGAGCTCTGTCGCTGATGTCCTAGTGTGATTTTATGCACACATTGTACATAATTTCAAATTTTTATAACCCAGAATGTACTCTATTTTAGTGGGCTGTGTGACCTTAAGAAGAATGTATTTTTCTGCTTTCACTGGATGAAGAATTTATAGGTGTCAGTTAGATTATTTCTTTCTGTTTCCATGGTTTTTGAAGAGAAGTCAGATATACAGAATATAAGTTTTCTTTTTTCACTTTCTGGATTATATCATTATTTCCTGCAGTCTGAGTATGATACATTTCTGGGTTGCTTTGGAGAAAAATTTATTTTATTTTCTGTGTGCCTGTATGTGTGTCGGGGTGAATTTTTACCATAGTGGGAGTTGGAGGCCAGGGAACAACTGGTGGGCATCGGTTCTCTCCTGCCCTGTGGGTCCCAAGGGTGAAGTCTGTGGAAGGGCAGACTTAGTGGTAAATGCCCTTACCTTCTGAGCCATCTCACCACCCAGGGTGTAGATTTTTTTAGAGGCGTTTTCCTGCTTGGTAATTGGTAACTCTAGTTGGAAAATTCAGATTTAAATGGAACTGAGAATTTTGTTCCCCAGTGATATAAACGGTATTAGGTGCTCAGTAGCTGCATGTCGCTGGCATGTACCAGGCTGTAGAGCCAGGTCCCCTGAAACTGAGTGGTCTACAGAGGAGAGCATCTTGCAGGACTCTACTGTCGCTAGCACTCTTCTCCACCCTCCAACCTCTGCTCACGCCACTTCCCTCGTAGAACGCTCCCTCCCCTGCCCACAAGTTCTCCGTCTGTCTCAAACCCATTATTCTGTGGCTTAGCGTAGGTTCTTCCCACTTACACAACCCTTTGAAGGGGAAGGAGAATATTTCACTTACTTCCCTGTAGTTGTATTGCGTGGGCCTGCTATCACCATGCAAAAACCCTTCACATTCTCAGTGGTTGGTGCTTTATAGACTAGATGCCGCGTCTGTTAATGCAAACAAGCATTACTGAGTTACTGAAAGCAAGCAGTGCTATCAGTGTCATTCTGTCAAGTAAGAAAATTAAAAATAAAGACAACTCTATTGCTCCTTTAATAGAAGGGAACAAACAAATTGAAACTTTGCTTTTCCCGGCCTTCATTTGGGCCTAGAATAGAAAACAAAACAACAACAACAAAACCACCACAACAAAAAACTTCCTTTGGCTTTTAACAAAAATAGCCATCCAGGAACCATGGTTTCACCTAGGTCTACACCTAGTATCTATTGCTCTTTCCTCCCCCCCCCCCCCACGGAAGGGTCTCATTGCGTAACCCTGCCCAGCCAGAATTTACTATGTAGACCAGCTCTCAAATTTATATTGATCCAACCTTCCTCTGCCTCCTTGGTGCCAAGATAAAAGGCATCTGTTACACATGGGGCTTACTGGCTTTTTATTCCTCCTGTAGGTCCCTTACTATTTGAATGGCATTCAGCAAGTTATTCTCTGCTTTACATTTTCCATCTGGTGATGTTGCTTTAATGCAAGGTGAAATACATGCTTAGGACTTCCATGAATTCCATGGAAATGAGAATGCCTAGGACTTTGGGCATTCTCATTACTATTTTTCAAGGTTGGAACATTCTCTAGAGCACACTGGCTCAGGTTAAGGCAAAGAGGAAACTGTAGGTTTATATTTTTTATTATTTCAAGATTCCCGGTGGATATCTGGAACTGCAGATAGATAGTAATGAAGCCTATATATACTCTTTTTTCTTCCATTCTATACGTATCTATGAGCAAGTTTAATGTATAAACTAGGCACAGTAAAAGATTAACACTAGTAGGATCATTATAACAATGTACCATGATAACAAAAGAATGTGAATCTGGTCTTTGAAAAAGTAAATACTGTTTTGAGTCAGGATCTTGCTCTGTAGCTCAGGCTTGCTCCCACTTTGGGATCCTCCTGCTTCAGTTCTCTGAAAATATCTATTGCACTGTATCTTAGCAACGTCAGCAGTTTTTTTTTTTTTTCTTACTAAGTGAAGTGTTTTCACCTTTTCACTTGGCATGCTCCAAATGTTAGCATCACTATTCTAATGCTTTGATGTCAGTTGGTAAGCAAGGACTAATTGAACACGGGGATTGCAATACATTGATAGTCATTAATGGAGACAGCTACTGAGTGATTGTAGGTGACATACACAGCATGGAACTTCTGGACAAATGATTCCTATGCCAGGCAGGGCAGGCTGGGACGAGTAGTTTCATCCCCTTACTCAGGATGATACCCAACTGAGAAGTTCTGAGTTGTTTATTTTAGAATATTATACAGTTTAATTTTGGACAGCGGTTGACTGTAGATAGTACTGGGCATGGCAGTGCACACCTTGGACTGCAGTACTTCAGAAGCAGAGGCCAGCAGATCTCAGTTTGAGGCCAGTCTGACCTACATAGTGAGTTCCAGGATAGCCAGGACTACATAGTAAGATCCTATCTCAAAGAAAAAAACAAAAACAAAAACAAACAAAAAGTGAAACCAAGAACTGAAGAGATAGCTCCATAGTTCAGAGCACTTGCTATGGCCGGTGACCTAGGATCAAGTCTCAGCATCTACAACATGGAACACCACTGTAATTCCAGTTCCATGTGTCCCATGCCCTCTTGTGGATTCTTTTGGCACTAGGCAAAGGAAAACGATCTTTTTAAAAATGTGAAACCATTTCTGGGGTGTGGGATGGGGAGCAACTGCTCACGAAAAGGCCAAAAAGCCTTTCTTCCTAACTTTTATGTAGTGCATTGGCATTGTGCCCTGTTGTGAGCCAATCCACAGATCTTTACTTTTATTCAAAACCACAACTTCTCAGGGAAGGGCCTGGCAAGTGTGGAACTTCTATAGAAACAAACAACAACAACAAACAGATGAAGCTTTTCATAAAAATGTGGGCACTGAGCTGGAACAAGGTGTCTCCGATTTTGCCCTTTACCTCTTAGCTTCTTACACAACGGTGTGCGGTACAAATGATGCTCGCCAATTTAACTCACCGGGCCATGAACTATCAAACTTAACTAGATCCATCTCCAGCACACAGAACCTTGGGGTCAAAAAACATGGAACTTTACTTTAAAAAATCTATATATTTTCTCAGGTGCAGGGGTGCACACGTGCGATTCCAGCACAGTGGAGCCTGGGGTAGGAGGGTCCAGAGTTCCAGGCCATCCTGGGCTCCATTAACAGTTGAAAGATAAGTTTGTTCCCAGGCACGAAATGGCTCATTGGTTAAAAACACTCCTTGATCTTGCAGAAGACGAAGGATTCAGATCCCAGCACCTTACGTGGTGACTCAAAACTGTCTGCCAGTCGGCTATCAGGGGGTACAATGCCTTCTGCTCTCCACCGGCTTTGGATAAAGGTGGTACACATAATTTACTTGCAGGAAAAAAACAAAACAAAACCTTTTTTTTTAAAGTTTCATAATTTTACTTCCTAGTCACTGCAAAAAAAAGAATTAACCTCACTGTTGAGTATAGAAATTTTGATGCCAGATACACTTAAATTGTCTGTGTATCCAGAAGGAAAGGCTAAGAAATATTACCTCGGCAGAAGTCATTTTTATACTTTGTCTCACACCCTTCTCCCCTAAAAATGCTTTTTAAAACTGGTTGCCAAGTTGGAGACCCACGGAATGAATTCAGCCTATATACATGTTTTGGCCTGAAGAGTTTAAAAATCCCTTTAAAAGATATGTGGCACTTCGCCATTCGGCAGTTAGCGTCAGCTTCGAGTTGTTTCAATCCTAGAACTCTTCCTGTCAAGCCAGCTGGTTTGGGAAACCAAACCAAACCACCCTGATTATCCCTTACAGGTGGTCAGGCCTGTAACTTTCAACCAGAGAGCTGCAGACAACGACTGGGTGATCATGCCCTGGAGCCTCAGTTTCCCTATCTGTAAAACCAATCGATAACTCTCATCAGTGATAAGGTCTGTTGATTGCTGGGCACAAGCCCAGGGCTCGGAGGTACACCCCAGTAACCTAGACTGGCGTCCAGACATCGGGTGGAGCGCAGCGAACTGGGCAGAGAGCCTCGAACCCGCGCTCGCCGCCCTCTCCACCCTCCCGCCGGGATCCTCCGCGCTCCGCCGAGAGGCGTGGCCGGGCCCTCAAGCCTACAGCGGCGGCCATGGCCTCGGTGGTGGAATACAAGGGCCTGAAGGCCGGCTACTACTGCGGCTACTGCCAGTCCAGGGAGGGCAAGGCGTCGTGCGGTGAGTGTCCCCTCGTCCGTCCGGGCGTGGCCGTGACGGCCTCCCGCCAGGCTCTCGCCACGTCCCGGCAGGTCTCCAGCGCGGGCAGAGGTCGTTGGTCACCGGACCCCAGCTTCTTGGTCCCATTGGTCGCTCTCCGAGCCCGGCTCCTTCCCACCTCGGTCTCCCCGCCTCACCCTCACGGATGATAGCCGCCCCTCGCAGAGGAGGAACGGAAATAGCGGCAAGCTGCCCTTAGTCAATATGGCGCGGGCGGCGTCAGTCACAGAGGGGGCCCGGGTTTTCCCGGCCCGCGAGCGCTCCAGTGGCTTCGCGCGAGCTTCGGAGGCGCGCGCGCTGCATTGTGGTCCGGCGGCGGCGGCGGCGGCGGCGGCGTTGGACTAGGTGGCGCAGCGCCGGCGGGCCGGAGGAGATGGCTTCCTGGAGCGCGCCTTCGCCCAGCCTCGTAGAGTATTTCGAGGGCCAGTCCGCCTGCCACTGTGGCTATTGCAAGAGTAACTCGGGCAATGTCTCCACTGGTGAGCGAGCCGGCCGGCGGCCGTGGGAAGCCGGGTGACGCGGCTTTCGGGGTCTGTGTTGGTGGCGCCTGCGGGACTTGGGGGGCTGCGACCTGGGTCATCCGGTAGGACCCGCCTGTGCTCCGCCCTTGCTGCCGCCTGCAAACAGCTGCTGGTCCGCGAGGCGGGAAGGGAGATGGGGAAGCTCGTAGGAGCCGACCGCCGCCCTGCAGCCCCGCTCCCCGAGCCGGGTGCGGGGCAGCCGAGGCCTCCTGCTGCCTGTGTAGAGGTGTGAGTGCGTGCACACCTGCGGACTGTCATCTTGGAGAAAGTGTGTCTGGGAGAGCGTACTGGAAACACGGGGCTGCTTGTCATTTTGTTTAAAAATCGGATCAGGGATTCATACCTTGTCATTGTGTCAACCCACATCAAAGACCGCAAGAAAGTCAACAACACACGGTGTTCTGTCAGGATTTAGGTTTCTTTTCTTTATTTTGATTTTCCCAGACAGGGTTTCTCTGTAGCCCTGGCTGTCCTGGAACTCGCTCTGTAGACCAGGCTGGCCTCGAACTCAGGGATCCGCCTGTCTCTGCTGGGATTAAAGGCGAGTGCCACCACCTCTTGCTAGGATCCAGCTTTCTTAAGGAAGATTTGTTGGTAGACAGAACATCGTACTTACTGTCTGCTGTGTCATGACTAACACATACGGAATGTAGGGTGGACAGTTTAGAATAATCCAGCATGTGGAAAACAAGATAACGATGGAAATGTAAATTTGGGTTAGACATTTGTCCATTTTGGAAGGCTGTAAGTTGGGGAATGGTTTGGTCTAGTGTGTTGTGCCGGTTTACAGGTTCATTAAAAGTGTTTATTAGGGGAAAGTGTGTTATTAAGTGAACTGCGGTCTTGAGTAGACAGTTACACCATCATCAGACGTACCGATCACAAAGACCAGTTAAGTGGAAAAATGCTTACAGCATAGGGTTAAATAAAATAAACAGGATGCAGATGGAACACGTGACAGCTGAGAGGAATAAGGCCCAAGAAAGCATGTCAAATAGTAACAGTGGCTGCCTTTGGGTGGTGGAGGTGCTATTTTCAGAACTTTTATATTCTGACTGTACTATGTACCAGTGTTATAATAAATGTGACTGAAACTAATACTTTAACAGGGAGGACCTTGTCACCCCCTACCCTCAAGAATTGTAAAAGAGAAAGTTGGCCAATATGAAATGTTTTGTGTTTCAAGATTTGTTGAAGAAAAGCCTTTACATCTAGAGAAATAACTATAAACTTCTAACATTTCAATCTTAATCTTTACTGTAGGGCTCCTTTCTGTCAGATAACTGTTATTCCTACTGTAGACCGGACTGGCCTCAAACCACAGAGGGTTAATTTGAGGTTCAGAGTAACTTTTTGGTATCGGTGAGTGACTGGCATTTAGAAGTTGTTAGCAGTTTGCTTTTTATTGCTGTGGTAGGCACCATGATCAAGTGCCATTTGGGGAGGGTTTATGTCATCGTACAGCTTACAACCCATCGTGAAGGAAAGTCAGGGCAGGACGTGGAGACAGGAACCTTCTGAATTGGTTACTGCCATTCCTACTGGGCTCTGATACCATTTGCTTTCCCCCGGCATGCCATTCTGTAAGGCATGTTCATATATATATATATATATATATATATATATATATATATATATATAT